TCTCTCCATGCTAGTCACAGTGCTGCAGAGCTCTGTTTTTCCTCTCCCTCCCAAACCCATCCTTTTCACAGAGCCAAGAGGTGCATTCTTGTAGTTCCCTTCCATACATTAGACCACAGCAATGATGTGATCGGGTCTGTTAAAGCTGGTGGAACTCAAAGCTGGTCTCTAGGGTTTGTTCCAAATAATGTGGTTTTTTTCTTGGTTGCATCCAAAGTGTTCCACTTGAGGTTGGTGGCTGATTACTGTGAGCTGTGAAGAGACACTCGTGAATTAGAAGGATGGTCCCTGAAATTTGGTGTGTTACAATTCACAGTTCTGTAAATGGGATGTTTTCTAAGTTAAAGACTTTTGGATTGTCGTGAATATGATATAAAAAGGGGTGGAACCTGGAACACTTGGATTTCTAGGTTGTGAGAGCTTTTGGGAAATGGAGAAAGGTGAATATGACAGAGAAGCAAGAATTGCAATACTGAATCTCTAAAAGATTCATAGACATTAAAGAAAAAGGAACTCATGAGGTAGTATTTGTAGTTATAGGGGAGGAGAGAAGCTTTGTACAACTTTTGTTTCTTGTACTTCTAAGAGTCCCTTTTGAAATAACACATCAAACTATGAAACCATTTGTGCAGTCAGAAACCTGTTGCCATCAGACAATATCAGTCTAGTCTAAATTTCTTGAAGGTTCCAGGTACTTCTAGTGACCCATTCTTGCCTCCAGACAGCATCTGATGTCTCCTCCTGCTTATGTTTATGCCTTATAGAAATCATAGAATGATGAAATGGTTTGGGTTGGAAAGGCCCTTAAAGGTAATCCAGTCCCACGCCCTGCCATGAGTGGGGACACCTTCCACTATCCCAAGTTGCTCCAAGCCCTGCCCAGCCTGGTCTTCGACACTTCTAGGGATGGGGCAGCCAGAGCTTCTCGGTGCAACCTGTGCCAGGGCCTCTCTGCTCTGTCAGGGAAGAATTCCTTCCCAATATCCCATCTAACCCTGCCCTCTGGCAGTGGGAAGCCATTTCCCCCTTGTCCTGTCACTCATGCCCTTGTAAATAGTCTCTATCTTTATTGTAGACTCCCTTCAGTAGCTCGTGTAACACCTTGACAAGGTCTGTTGTCTAGCCAAGGTAGCTTCTATTTTTAGTTAAAAAATATGCTGTTTGTGTACTTGGTGGTGAATGTTCTCAAGATCTGTCAGTGTCTCTGTTAACAAGAAGCCAGAGGCTGCTGTTCACAACGAGCCATCGGAGCCTCCAATGCAGTGCCAAGGTGGATGGAGCCTGTCAGGACAGGACATTGCTGTAGGTGCAGGCCAGCACTCCACTGCAATGCAGCGACTCCCCACTCTCTGTTCAATCCCTTTTTGAGGATTTTGTAGGTGTTTTTGATTTTCTTTTCTTGATAGTTTCTTTCTGTCCAGGGCAGTATTTGCACAAGGTAGTATCTGTAAATGGAATCAGTATAGGTAAAAAGGAGATAGGTCTGTGGGTAAGAACAGAGATGTGTTGGGGAGACGGGGTCTAGGGTAGATGATTTCCAAGGAAGGAGGATGTGTCAGTGCTGTTTGACACTGCAGCCTTCCCCATGGATGCTACTTGATTAGGACAGATTCCATTCCTCTGAGGAAGAGGGGAGAGACAGATCCTAACCCACAGACAAATGCACCTCCAAGATCTCTTTCAAAAGACATAATGATATGAGAATACTCTTTAGTATCAAGACTTCCTTTTTTTTTATGTCAGCATTGTGAAAAATATGATGTATTGTCCATCACTGTCTTGTCTTGCACATGCATTTGAGAGCAAAATAAGCTTTTGGATACGGTACGGTACTGCTTCTATGTTCTTCTTTTATAAGAGTTTAGAGAGAGAAAGCATTTTTGTATCTTGAGCTTGCAGCAGGGAGGTGGTGTAGTGAGTAATGTTTTATCTCTGGGTGATATCGGAGATAGGAATGTGAGAACAGAGGGGAAGAAATGAGGCAGTGGAGGGATGAGATCAAACGTGCTTTTGCTGGAGCTCTCTCCTTGTTCTCATGTTTGTCCTTTCTCTCCATTTCTCTATTTTGATGCTTAACAAAGGGAACTGAAGGAAGTTCAAAGAAGTCAGACCAAGATTGAGAGTAGATTTGGCTTTCTGACTTGGTTCTCCAAGCCTTAAGGTGTCCTTTAGAGCAGCAGCAAAGTGGCCCTAGAGTTTGATCCATGTGGCCAGTCAGTGTCCATGAGATGGCTGTGCTCAGGATCCGGGCTCTTCTGAATGACTGTCAGTGGTCTCTGGCTGACTGACGGGCAGCAGCTGGCCCCGTGGTCTGCCCTTTGCTGGAAGAAGGCCACAGTGTGTGGCTTGACAGATGACAGAGAGATCTTAAATGCAGACTCAAGAGAGAAGCATTTTCTGGACCATTTCTGTCTGCTGACTCTGCCTGGGTCAGAGGGTGGGGGCGAGTACGTGGGAACGGAGAGCACTCTTCCCTTCCAGCTGTTCTCAAGGCTTCGTGCTCATGGCAGAAGGCGTTTCCAGCTTTGCTCAAAGCTGCAGTTTTGCATGTTTGCTGCCTGCTGCTCTCTCCATGGCCACACCCACCATTAGTTTCTTACATGCACACTTGCTGAATTCACCTGAACTCACCTTCCTGCGCTGGTCACTCCCACACCTCAGCCTTGCTTCTCTGTACCGGTTATGGCCCATATTGGTTCTTTGCTGATCATTCGTTCCCCTCCTTTCTCTGGTTTCCTTTATAGATTCAAGCACAAGGAGTGTCCAAGACGTGATCAGGGAGAGAGCACTGAACTAGAGCTTTGGGGGCTACAATGGAGTTGGGTGGTTAATAGGAGATATAGGTCCTATAATGTTTTCTAATTTAAATTATATTTAAAATTATGTTTTATTATATATAATAATTATTTAGATATTATAAAAAGGGTGAGATAGGGATGAAATAAACTTTTTAATAATTATTATTTTATTTATTAACTGTGCACAAACCATTTTCTTCCCACCCCCAGTGGCTTGCATACCCTCAGGGGTGTACGCACCCCACTTTAGAGACCACTAGTGTACTTCTCCCAAGTACTTTCTCAGTCTGTAACTGTTGTGCCAGGTATGTCTTCCATGTCATTAGCACTCCTTTGGAAGGGGGTTCCATAGCCTTGATAGCCACAGTGGGGCAAAGTCACCCCTTCCGTGGTCTTAGAGCCTGACCCCTCTGCTGGTGGCCGGGGTTCACTGTTCTGGCAAGGGCAGTGAACAATCAATCCCCAGCTGCCCTCTCCAGGCCACACCTGATTCTGCAGAGCTCTGGCAAATGCCCCCTTAGATCACCTTGGATCACCTCTTTCCAGATGGAAAACACATTTGTACTATTACTTTTACTTTACTTCCATGGATGGGGTTCCATACATTAAGAATTTCTGTGCCATTTTCTTATCCTTATTTGAGCTCTGCTCTGCCATCACTGAGCTGCAGGAGACAGAACTGCAGCCTTCACATGTAGGCACACCATGGGCAGTAGCACACTGATACTCTCTGTTCCCCCCATGCTCATTTCTTTTGTTTAATGGCTTTTTTGACCTCTAGTAAGCAGTGAACTGATGTTTTTTTTCTGGAAGTGTCTGTTTGAACAAGATCTTGCTTCTGTGGGCAGCAGTCAGCTTAGGGCCCATTGCTTTGTATGTGATACTTGGATTGTTTTTTCCCCATTCACTTCAATATGTATTGAAATACATTTTCATCTTGCTGTTAAGTTTTAAATCTGGCTCAGGAAGTCCTTCTGAAGTTCTTTGAAGCTGGCCTTCGTCCTTGCCAGTGTGAATAACTTAGCATTACCAACAAACCTTTTCACTTCCTTGCTTTTTTCATGCCTTTTTTTTGTTCTTCCCCCTCCCCCCCCAAGTTGTTAAGAACATGTTGAAAAGCAGGAGGCCCAGCAAAATTTTGCATGTGCCTTCATTTTCAGAACCAATTACTTTAACCTCATTTCTATCCTTTAAACAATTATTTATCCATAATGGATTCCATTGCCTTTTGATTTCATTAAAAGAGTTTGTAGATGGACTTGACTTTCAAAGGACTTTTGTGTATGGTTATTCTTATTCACATCCTGGTTCAAATGCCTAGAGAGTGTGTGTGTCTATTTCTGCATATACATAGACATATAGTAAACATCTTGGTAACTCTTAGTATGAAACTAAGCTCTTCTCTCTGTTTTAAATTGCATTTTAGAGGTGGTAATTGTTCTAGTGATGTTTTTCCTTGATGACGATAAACTTTTAGAATTTAGAATTGGGTTTACTGCGTGTCTTGTGCAATTTTAAGCTTGTGATTTGACCCAGAGCACACTGAAGTCAACATAAATGTCAGGGCTTTAAATGCCTATGGGGCCTGATGAAAAACTACCGCATCCATTCCATTGTTTTCTTTATTTCAAAAGCTTGATCAGAGGCGTGACCTTTTCTTAAAGGATTTGTGTCACGTTACGAACTTACGCTGCTCTCTGGTGTAGGTGAAGGAAAAAGCGCTTAATGGAGAGTGTTTATTGCTGTGTTTCTGTGTTTTGCCTGTGCTGGTTCCTGTCTCCAGCTGCTCAGAGCAGCCTGATCGGCAGTGCAGAGCCTGCAGTGGGAGCTGAGCAGCTCTGAGCAGCATATGAGCTGCACCACTTTGGGCTGTGCGTCGCTGCCATGGGGCGTTTCCTTTGGGCTAGACGTAGAGCTTTCAGCTGTAACGTGGCCTGGATATGTTAGTGAACACAGAGTGTTTTCCCAAGCCTAGTATTTTTCATCCCTGTTTCCTGTCTACTTTATCCCTGAATGCCTTTCTATGACGTCCAGGAAACACCAGTCACAGAGCTCAAGTGCTTTGTGTTGCTGCTTAGTGCTTGTCAGGACGATCAAAATGGGGAACCCGCTAGAGCCAGTGTCTCATGATGTACAAATGTCCTGGCAGCTGGAGAAACAGGGACCAGACTGGCTCTTATTTCTGTTTCGCTTTTCCTCCAGCGCCCTGGGATGCCATCAGGAGCTCGAATGCCCCATCAGGGGGCTCCCATGGGTCCTCCAGGCCCCCCATACGTCGGAAGCCCCTCTGTGCGACCTGGGATGCCCCAGACTGTGATGGAAACAACAAGAAAACGCACTGCACCACAGCAGGTCCAGCAGCAGCAGGTGCAGCAGCAGGTGCAGCAGCAGCAGCAAGCCACCCAGAACCGAGCTAGGAGGTGAGTGTTCTGGGAAGAAAACATGGGAGGACAATCTGAGGAAGAAAAAGCAGTATCTTTTTTAGAAGTAGGTAAGACCTTTAAGATCAAATGAGACATAGTAGAAGATGTATGTACTGTTAGTTTTTTAAAGCAGAAAAAACACTGACAAATTTTACTTTTTACTTTGTTTGTGAATGGTCTTGAACAAACTGACCTTCACTAATGTCTGGTTTTGTAGTTACACTGCTTTTACCTTGCAGGTTTGTCGGGCCATAAATCAGTCGAGTATATTTAGCCTTTAGAGTTAATGAACAGTTCTCTTCTAATATAGTACAATTATTGTATTATTTGTTACCTGTTCTATATTGTTGCTCTGATTCTGACTGGCTAACAAAATGGTCTGTAAATGAGACAAGTGGAAAAAATGTTGGTTGGTCATGTGAATATGGGTACTGTGGTCACTCAGGAAAGTGGCCATAAAACTTGCAGTTGTCTCAGGCATTTGTACATATAAAGTAAAGAAATATGCACAGGAAGTAATTTCATAGAATTAGAGGGATTTTTATAAGGAGTTATCTTCTTTAAATATGCCTACTTTGTACGTTGCTGAGTGCATCCTCTGTTAAGTAAGTTAGCTAATTTCTTTTTGCAACTTAGACCTTAGCAATCTGGAGTATTATTGAGGGTGCTCCACTCACATGCAGTCACCTAGGTGGGCTGCCTTTTGCAAAATCCTTATAGGTATATATACAGCTTCAGACAGTGTTCTGGTGGTGTCATGGAATGCAGTTGTAGGTAAAACATGACTCTCTAAGCTCAGTGCTTCAGGAGCTCTGCTCTGCCCAGGTTATATGCCTTGGATCAGCAAGCCAGACTTGGGCATACTTGTATCTGGGATGCATCTGGAAAGGGCACCAATCTTGAGAGTATTATTACATTATGGTTAAAAAAGATTGAACACAGAAGGAATGTGTGTGAGTGCAGCATGTGAGCACAAGTGATGCATGTGTGCCTTGGAGGCCTTGCCCAGCACCAACCAAAATGCATATTCCACAGCACCTCCCAGGATACTGTCCAGGAAACTGCACAAAATAATGCCCAGCCTTCAGGCATGCAGGGTGGATATAATGTGAAAACTTGCCCCTGCTGGATAATTATGGTAAACTTTAGTCACTAATTAGTTTCCAGGGAGCATTAAAGGACAGTATTTTCTAAAAGTTAATGGCGTAACTCACAGAAGAAAGCAGTTCCCCTCCCCAGTTCTTAACTGCAGTGCTTCTGGTTTAGAACCTAGCAATGGTCTCTACTGCCTTGAGCCCAGCTCACACCAGTGCTCTCTGGGTACCCAGGAATGTTTCTCCGTTCCTTCTGCCATGCCTTCCCTCCAGATAACTGTTGAATGTTTTCCCTTTGTTTATTTCCACCTCCCTGTCACTTCTCGTTCTGCTTTTTCAGGCACACTTTTCTGGCACCTTGGGTCCAATTCTGGGAGTAACCGAGTTCTGTGTTTTTTAGCACAAACAGGCCAAGAAGGTTGTACTTGTCCTTTCTTGCCAAGTTTGATGGAGACAAAAATCTCATTTCTGTAACAGACTCTTGAAGAAATGGTTGAGACCCAAATTGTTTGGGGATGTTGGTTTGTTACTTGCTTTTTAACTGCAAGCCTGTGGGGTTTTGCAGGTTGTTGCATATCCCGCTCCCTTTGGGAGGCTGGGACTTGCTCAACCTTTACTTCCAGATTCTGTGAAGTGTTTCAGTGCAGATTTGATTTTGTAAGCTGTGGAAGGTGTTGGAGGTTCACACCGAGTAACATTCCAGTCCCATTATTCCTGCACTTTTAAAAAGGGACATTGTTTACCTATCTACCCCCAAGGAAGGATAGAGTTTGCACCTCCAGGCAGGAAGAGTTCCTCAGCCTTGGCTTATATGGGGATGGGGAATCTGGTGTTTCAGGCCAGGCTTATTATTAACAAACATAGGAAGAGAGTATGTCACACCAGTGTGTGGAAAGAGCTTTTATGTGGACATGGCTGATGACTGACTTCCTGTATGAAGACAGCAGGTGCTTTGCTTTCTCTGATTTGTCTGTCATAGATGGAGTGATTCATCTCCTACTTAAGATAAAGGCTTCACAAATTACAGAGGTGAAGAATAAGGCCTGAATTCCCTCTTGGCCCTGTTAGAGAAAGCTGGGTGACAGGTTTGGTGGGCACAAATGGGTCTTAGAATCTGAAGAATTCAAAAGACAGTGTATTTGACAGTTTTCCTTACAGTGTCATTTCTCAGGCACATATACATTTGTGTGTAACTACAGGAGCACAAGTGTATTTTTCAGAGCATCGATATAGAAATGGGCCTATGTATGGGTATGGAAACAGTGTGTATATACACTGCAGGCACACATACATCTTCCTTCATGTGCGTTCATAAAGATGAAAAAACACGGAAACGTAAGGCGTCTTGCCTTTGTACATCACTCATGCAGATACGTTACGGTCTAACCGGTGTAAGTACATAGGGAAGTGTGTGCATGTGTGTGCTTTCATACATCATATGAAATGCACGCATATATGCGTGTTTGCCTCAGTACTCGATTTTGGGCATGACTGAGCAAACGCGTGTGATCTGTTTGAACAAGTTCACGTGCTGTTTGCAGGCACTCAGCCAGAAGTGCACACGCACAGGGGTGTCTGTGCTCACCAGACGAGACTGTCCTGCACACTCGTCTGTACCCAGAGGCAGCGTGTGCACATGCACTTGCATATGTTGCCATCCTGCACCACAGAAGGTGCTCTGATCAAAGAACTTGCAGACTTCTTTCCAGGATGCATAACAGACAGCCCTGATTTGTTCTTAGCTAACTGCCTCCCCAGGCTGCTGAGAGAAGGGGTCTGAGGTCCTGGGCATGGGTGAGGCCCTTTTGCTGATGCATGCACAGCTGTGCACCAGCATGTGGAGATGTCAGGATAATTTAGCAGGTGGCCTCGTTACTCCTAGATCTGTCACCATGGTAACGTGTTTTTTTCTTTAAAAAATGTACAGTGCCAAGAGGAGGAAGATGGCTGACAAAATTCTCCCTCAGAGGGTGAGTCGCTTTCATTTCCTATTCCCTTCACAATCAGTTCAGCATCTTAGTGTAATTAGAGGGATTTTAGAAAATTCTCTCACTTTTTGTTTAAAAATCTAATTAAAAAGTAAGTAGGCAGTGGGTGAAAGTCTGGAGAGCCAGGCTGGGGCTGGGCTGGAGGCTGGGAGTGTGGAGCAGCCTGGCCTGCACGGCCTCGCGCCTGGGTTGGCCGAGCCAGCACTGCCGCTTGCTGGAGGGACCGCAGTGCTGGGCCACCAGGCAACGGCTGCACCAGGGCTCTCAGGTCTCCATCATGCTTTTGATCCATTTTTGGGACTGCCCAAAACATGGTCCAGAGAACAGCTGTGCCCGAGGGGAAAGTCTCAGCCTCAGATCTCTGGCTCAGTAGAGATGCCAGGTCCTGATTTTTGTGGTTGTGTCCCAGTAGGACTGAAGTGCACCCATATAAACAGCAGAATTCAAGGGGTCTGTATTGTCTGGAGACTTACTAATTCTCTTATCCCTGGGGATATGTCTGGCTTTTGGTGTCTACCTATGCTTGATCCTCAATGCTTAAATCTTCTAATTCCTTTCTAGACATTGAAATTTCTCTCTGCTCCCCCTCTCTTTCATTATTCCCAGAGTTTTCCCTTCCTTTACCCTCTTCAGTATGGTTCCCGAAGAACCTGCTTGGTCCCAAAAGGCGAGCTTCCTTAGGCTTCAAAATACACACCCTTATCACATCCTAGTCCCAGTTTCTTTGACTGCTGGTGCTGTTTCTGGGCTCAGAATCCCTTGGACAGGTGTGCCTTTTTACTCCACATCTTTTTCAAGCTTACCTCTCCACTGCTCATGTGAGCCCAAACTTACTGGCAGACTCCAGAGTCTCCTCTGTGACTGTTCCACAGGTGCCTTCTACCAGCCACCAGAGGAGGTGAGCCCACTTTAGTACTCCTGGTGTCATGTTATTACTTCTTCTCTTGTCATTCCTGCCAGCTTCTGAAAGCAAAGCCTCTCATAGGTCGGCCATTAGATCTCTCATGCTGCAGTCTTGAAAGGACCGAGCTACTATTAAACCCAGACCTTTGAACCATTTGCAGCCTCTCTGGTATTTGTGTTGAAGCCTCATTCCTGCTCTGCTGAGGGTCTGTACTTTTATAATGAAAGCTAAGTGTCTTGTACTGTCATTTTTGTCTGTCCCACACAAACTGTTTTCACAGACAACGATACATCCTGGATGATGAGGCTGTCCCTGGAAATATATGTCCATTTCAAGGCACTTTTTGTTTAATTCTTTTGAGTTTTTTGGTTGGTTGGTTGTGGGGGTGTTTTGTTTTGTTTGTTTGGTTTTTTGTCTGGCGCTTTTATAAGATGGGTCTCGTAACAGAGGTAACCAAACTTTTTTGGCAGCAGAAGACCAGTGCCTGCATTTGTCAAGTCCATAATAATTCTTTCATGGGTAGAGCCTTATTTTGGTATGTCAAAAAGCTCTACAGATGTTTTCAGAACCATGCTGTCACCAAGTCTTCTTACCTCTCAGTATCTTTGTTGGTGTCAGCCAATAGTTTTAACTGATGGAGTGATAAAGGGAACACAAATTGCTAGAGATCTGCCTGCAGTGGGGTTTTTATCAGGGCAGTTGCAGTGCTGGTGTCAATGATGTGACGCTCTGTCTGGGTTAAGGTTCTCTGTTAGGCTGCTAGTCAGTGTGTCAGAAACCCCTTACTCTCACTATTTGTGGGATGGGGAGATCCTGTGCTGTCAAGTGGAGGATTTGCACTGGTGGATGTGGAATGCATGTGAAACACAGGGTAAAACTTCCAGCTTTCTGGAACTACCTCTGGAGTGTTTTCCAGCCAGTCAGCATCTGTTACCCACAGACTTTTTGCAGACTCTTGCTTATGTTTTCTGGGAACTGCAAAGGGGAGAGAGGAAGATATTAAATACACTTTACTCTTTAAAACCATCTTTATGTAGTAGTGGAAAAGGAGATGGGTTCTCAGAGTTCCTCGCTTGTGATAGTGACTCAGGCAGTTGGCACAGATAACCACTGTTGGATTTCCAAGCTCTCTGGTGAAGCCTGTGCCACAGCGCTGGAGCATATCACTGGTCAGTAGGGTCACTCAGCTGCTACAGGTCAGCTATCTGAGAAGGATTTAATTTTGCAGGAATCTATTTTGCAGCAAACTATTACACATAGGAAAACTGGATTATGGTACTGCATGGGACCTCCTGGCACATCCAGACTGGTTCCCTCTGTTATGGAAGCCATGACACAATTGCCACCTTGAGAATAGTTAGGTTCTTTACTTCTGATATACCTAGATCTGTCAGCTTGCGCTTTTTTTCTGTTTTGTTAGGCAAGGCACATCTTTTAGCTTGACAAGTAAAAGGGGCTCCCCTCTTGAAATCCTTACGGTTTTTTATCTATTCCAAGTTAAATTCATATCTTTCAAACCTTTTTAAATCTACTTCTCAAGAAATCAGAACTATGCATAGTATTACAGATTACTAGTATTACAGATTACTAGTATTACCAGTGGTAGTTCTGTGATAGACTTACAAGTATTTCTGCTTTCTGTTATTTGCAACTGATGAATTCCCATATTAGAGCAGGAATTAGACTCTGAGGAATATGATCCTATGCTTTTGTAATGCTGTATTTCATTCCATTTCCATTCTAGAGTTCTGAGCTTCCTTACCTTCTCTGTACTATCCTTTGCCCTGTGATGACAGTGCCACCCAAATTTGTCATTATTAAGTTTTGTTAGCATATTTCTCCTTTTTGTACAGGAACTATTAATGAATGCATTTAAAATAAAATCAGTTTCAGAAGTGGTCCATGAGGTACTTCCTGCTTAATACTTTTTTCCTATCCCAGTTCTTTACCATATATAGTTCTTGTTCTCATCCCCATTTTTCAGTCTTAAGCAGTGGGTCCCTTTATGACTGTATGTCAAATGCTTTACTTAAATGCAAGTCAGTTGTATCAACTGCATCTCTTTTGTCTAAAATGCAGTTTTAGTGACCACAAAGACTTGGTTAAGCCCGGGCTGGCATACTGTAGTGAAACAAGGTCTAGTATTTTTTATAGCATATTCAACATTAACTCCAGTTCTGTGCAGCAGGCTGTTTCCCACCCTATTTTCCTCACGTCTGGATCCTTCCCATGTTCTCATGTCACTGTAACAAGGTTCATTCAGTTTTAGAGCAGTTCACAGGCGTCGTCATTCATAGCTGGGGACCTAAATCTGTGGAGCTGATGTGGCCTACCCTTCTTGCCTACCCTTTCTGATACAAGAATCTGAGCTGAGAGCTATTCTGGCTCTAGAGCTGTGTGTCTCTGCTTTTCCTGTTTAACTTGCTGAGTGGAGGGCAACTTTGAAACAGCAAACTGCTCCTCCTTCAGTGGCATGCGCATCTCTCAGTATTGGCCACTGTTCTTCTCACTGGGCCTCAAATTCCTGTGAGGACTTTTAGTCTAGTTGTGCTGACAGGTTTTTGTACAGCTACCCTGCCCTTCGTTTTCCTTTACACAAATACTTAGTCAACTTCTGCTGCTGCTGTTCACTGACCACCACGTGGGATTCTCTGCACAGATCCCATGCCATAATAGCTGTCCTGTTCTGGTTTGGTCACTGCATGTGTGTTGTGCACCTCTTTCTCTGAGCCAACCAGGGGTTAAGAACACCTGGATCTGCCTTTCACTCATAAGAAAGAAATGGTTGGGAATGTGATAATCAGCGGTAGCAACTGTGAAATAATGAAGATCAAGATCTTGCAGGGAATGAGGAAGGAGAATAGCCAAGTACAGACCCTGGACTTCAGACAAGCAGAGTTTGGCTTATTCAGGGAACTGAATAAGTAGGTGTGGTGCCTTGGGAAGCAGTTCGGAATGGCAGTGGCCCGGCGCAGCTGGCAGGTCTTTAAGGATGTTTAAGAGCAGCCTGTGTTGAAATGCAGGAAAATGAGCAGATTTATGAGGAGCCCAGCGCAGGGAACTCACAGTGGTGGTCCCAACATCAAAAGGTAGCATAGGAGAGATGGAAGCAGGGACAAGCTACAAAGGAGGAGTTTAGAAATGTTGCATGGGTATATAGGGAATGGTACTGGCAAAGTCAAAGCTCAGCTGTAGTTGAGATCTTCAAGGGACATCAAGGACAAGAAAAGCTTCTACTATTATGTTGGTAATAAAGGCTGACCAAGGAGAATGTGTGCTCATGCTGAGTGGGCTGGGTGACACAGTGACAACAGAGACAGTAAGTCTGAAGCACTCAAAACCTTCTTTGTCTCAGTCTGCACTAACGATGTCTCCCATACCTTGTGATCAGTGAACACATCCAAGAGGAGCAGCTGACAGTGGACAGGGATTGAGCCACGGATTTCTTGAGAAAACTTGATTTGTACAACCCCATGGTACCCAGCAGGCTGCAGCTGAGGGACTGAGGGTGCTGGCCCATGTCCTTGCAAGGCCACTCTCTCACACATAATAGTCTTGTATCCAGGCTGGGACATTTTGATCTAGATGGGCTGACAACCATCTTAGAGGGTAGTGGCTAATGGTTGCACTCATCCAGGTAGACACTGACATCAGAGTACTGCAGGGATCTGTTCCCCACCGGGTGGGGAAACCAGTCAATATGCTTGTGGACCGGCTGGAGGAATGAGCCAACAAGAAATTTCCAACAACTTTCAAAGATGGAAATTCTGTGGTAGCTTAATTCTAAAGGAGCTGCCAAATCTCTATTTATTAGTGATTTTTTTTTTTTAAAAAGCAAATTGCTGGAACTGTTTTGCTTGTCCTGCTTAGGCAGTGAAGAACCCAGCTCTTGTTGTTCCTAGGTCCAATTTTATTTGTTGGGCTTTTTTCTGAGACCTTGGAGGTGCATGACAATAGGATGAGAGGCAGCAGAAACACACAGCAGCATGGGCAGTTGACTCCCTATAAGGGACTGCTATAAAAAAACCTCCGACAAAACAAACAAAACATATGATGATATCAAAACATGGGAACAGGC